GCTGTCGAAAAGCCTGCAAAAAAATGAATGAAGAGATTGAGAACGGTAACGAATAACACGATTCGATAGAGCGAAAAACGCGCTTCAAAATGATATATAACATGGCTATATATATCAATGAATTAATTCAGAAATCATATCTAAAAATAACATATGTGAGAAACGACATTATTTTTACACCAACCTAATATATATATATATATATATATATATATATATATATATATATATATATATAAATATATATATATATATATATATATAGTAGATTGATAAAAGTAATATTCACAAAACTACAGTAAGCTTTTTAAAAAAGCAATACCGATAAAAAAAAATAAAAATAAAAGTGATAATGAGCAAAATGCACATCTAGACATCTAAAACACTTAACGTCTAAAATTTATATATATATATTTATATATATATATATATATATATATATATATATATATATATATATATATATATATATTTGTGTATGTATATTTCATAGTAAAAAAGAAATAACAGTAAGATATATAATCCGGTGTTCTTATTGATATTTTTTATTTTTCCAAAACAGTGCTCAATGTAAATTTACAGAGCATAAATATATATATTGTGTATATATTAATTCCGGACAATTAAAAATAATATATCGTAAACCTACAAACCAGTAAAACCAATATCGTGTATGAATATACTTGAACACTCTGAAAATATTTCTCTGTAAATAAAAAAAGACCGCAAAACTTCTTACATAGGATATACCACAACCACATTCACACGACGATCCACCTGTCGCCTATCAGAAAACACATTAATAAACAGCATAAAGATCATAGTAACATTAAACAGCTAAAGCTAAAACGATATTAAAATACTAGCAAAATCAAATCGTAAGAACAGACTCATAATTCTTGAAGCAATACTAATAAATTAAAAAGTATTTTATATCCACGATATATATATATATATATATATATATATATATATATATATATATATTATATTTATTATTATTATTTTAATATTTATTATTATTATAGGTATATAAAGTAAACCACACGTCATTTCTCGTCTACGTCTCAACACTCTTTGCTTACATTTCCAGCACTCACTTGTTCTGCGAAAACTCACCAATTGTCTCTACGTACCTTGATAACGACTTGTACATTCAATATTGATTTTTATGTCAACACTGTCTACAGCTCTCACTTCCTCTTTCTCTCTCTCTCCTTCTCTTTCACACACACGCACATATATATATATATATAATATCGCACATATAGTGCTGGTGTTAATAAAACAGTGCTCGATGTAATACAACAGAGTTATTACGTACATAATAATAATCATACATATGCATATGTGTGCGTTTGTATATATATATATATATATATATATATATATATATATATATATATATATATTTTTTGAAAATCCTAACGATTTTAACAAATAGTTCTTCGACATTAACGGTACCTGAAGATTGTATCTAACACGAAACACGGAATCGTACTCTCCACCTAAAGTAGCATGTATATTTATTAATATATACTTTATAGCTCTGCAATATCTCATTGAGCACTTTTCTAATAACATCAAATATTTAAATATTTATTTGTTAATTATATATGTGCGTGATCTGAAACATGTTGTTATATCTATATTTCTTTATATCTATATTTATTTATAATATATATATATATATATATATATATATATAGTTAAATTCCCAGGTCAATTCTGTGGTCAAGACAGAATTGATCTGGGAATTTCACTATATTGTCGACATGGAAAAAAAATCCCTTACTATAAAGTTAATTTACATTAACCAGAAAAAAAGGCTTAGACAGAAGAGTCTATCTTTTTAAATTAGGATTTTTTTTAATGTAACTACAAGAACAAAAACATTTCGATTTCATTTTTGCCTTGAAAAAGTCGGAAGACGAAACGCGTCGGCAAAAACTAAATTTTTTTACCTATTGTCATTTTATACCATATATATATATATGATTTTAATTAATATCGTCATCAAAGCTGTATCAAAGCTCATCAACGTGACTAGACATCCAGTTGCTTCAATATATATATATAGATATATATATATGGGACTCATCAGCAGTGCGCATCCACTACCGAGAATTGAAACCCTGACAGTTAGGAAACCCTGACAGTTAGGTTGTCAAGCGAACATCATACCAACTGTTCTAAATGGGCCTCGGTGACGAAGAGATTCCAAATCAGACTCAACTTACCGCCGCTCGCGGAACTGTACTGAGTTCTCTGTAACCATAGGACGGTGCCCCCTGGAGCCACAACTACTCTCACCAAGCCGCTCCAACTGGAGCATTAGAAACCGGTTCACAGATAGTAATTATTATATTTAATTAATTCATCGAGTGTGATAGAAACCTTAACAGAATGCAGAAAGCACTGGACGGCCGTTTCGTCCTATATTTGGGACTCATCAGCAGTGCACATCCACTGAGAATTGAAACCCTGACAGTTAGGTTGTCAAGCGAACATCATACCAACTGACGAAGAGATTCCAAATATATATATATATATTGCAATGAATCATTCATACAAAAAGTAAATTAGTAAAAAGGCTAAATCCTTTCACTAACTAAATTTTAAACATTCATTGACCCACTAATAACTTGATGAATGTTATGATCCTTCTTTTTTTTTTTCTTTTTTTAATTTATAAACTGTATTATGTCTTTCTTAAATACGCAAGTACTTTCGACGTTCTTCTGGTTATCATCAGGCATGGAAACTATTTTGTTTTTGATAAAATTCAGGTAGCAGCCGAGACGAAAAAATACAATGCAAGTCGAAATATCTTTTGTTTTTTGTTTTTTGAAATGTGTTATTGATAACGGATACCAACTCGTGGAGCGTGCAGTCGCAATGACGAAAAAATTAAGTCCGTTTTTTTTTACTAATATGGTAATTTACGTTTTTTTTTGTGTGTTGTAAGAGTTTATCAGTCAACGTGGCATGAACTAAATAGTTCAATAAGTAGAGTAATGTTTCAGTTGTTATCCTGAAAATTTGCACGTCAGATCAGTTCTTTTAAATCAAATATGTAGTTCAGTTTAATTTATATTACAATGAATCATTCATACAAAAAGTAAATTAGTAAAGTTAATTATATAAAACTCCGCAGTCCTTTCGCTAACTAAATTTTAAAGATGCATTAACATTCTCACCACTCATTGAATATTATGATCCTTGTTTTTGTTTTTTGTTTTTTTAATTATAAACTCTATGAGGTCGTCCTTGAATACTCAAGTACTTTCGACGGTTCTTTTGGTCATCATCAGGAATGGAAACTATTTTGTTTTTGGTAAAATTCAGGTAGCATCCGAGACGAAAAATATAATGCAAATCGAAATATGTTTTTTTTTTTTTTTTAAATGTGTTATTCATAACTGATACAAATTTGTAGAGCTTGTAATCGCAACACAAAGGTTGAATTTTTTTTTAAGTAATGGGATGTTCATCAACATGTCCTTCTATGCGGAATAAGTCATATGTTGTATCTGAAGAGACGTCCACAGCCATCGCAGGTGGGTTAATGGAATGGAGATCTCTGTCTTTTCTTTGGGCTCTGTTCGTTTCTACTATTTGCCTTTTGCTGTTTTCGAAGGATATTGGGTTTTTTTCTGGGTTTTTTCTCCAATTATCTCTTACTGGAGCTTTCGTCTCTCAATTGACCCGATCGATTTTTCTCCTCAGCAAGGTGATTTTTTTTCGGTTCCTGGAATAAACGACAGGATGATCAGTATCTGTCTATATTTCTGAGATGAGGTATTATGCATAATATTTACATTATTCGGACTATTGTCCTTATCTTTCTTGAATCTTTGATCCTTCAGTATCTGTTATATTTCTGAGATGAGGTATTATGTACCTATTTACAACAGACTTTGTCCCTTTCTTGCCATATTTATCCGATCCTTCAGTATCTGTCTATATTTCTGAGATGAGGTATTATGTACACTATTTACATTATTCAGACTATTGTCCTTATCTTTCTTGCCATATTTATCCGATCCTTCAGTATCTGTCTATATTTCTGAGATGAGGTATTATGAGACATTCAGACTATTGTCCTTATCTTTCTTGGATAATATTTCTGAGATGACGTTGGTTAGATCCTTATCTTTCTTGCCATGACCTTCAGGACCCAAAGATGAGTTGTACAGTTCAATTCAGACTATTGTCCTTATCTTTCTTGCCATATTTATCCGATCCTTCAGTAGTCTATATTTCTGAGATGAGGTATTATGTACACTATTTACATTATTCAGACTATTGTCCTTATCTTTCTTGATTTATCCGATCCTTCAGTATCTGTCTATATTTCTGAGATGAGGTATTATGTAACTATTTACATTATTCAGACTATTGTCATCCACCATATTTATCCGATCCTTCAGTATCTGGCTATATTTCTGAGATGAGGTATTATGTACACTATTTACAACTATTGTCCTTATCTTTCTTGCCATATTTATCCGATCCTTCAGTAAATAAAGGGTATTATGTTCATTATTCAGACTATTGTCCTTATCTTTCTTGCCATTTTATCCGATCCTTCAGTATCTGTCTATATTTCTGAGATGCCGGTTATGTACACTATTTAATTATTCAGACTATTGTCCTTAAATATTTATCCGATCCTTCAGTATCTGTCTATAAATATGGTACACTATTTAAATTCAGACTATTGTCCTTATCTTTCTTGATATTTATCAATCCTTCAGTCTATATTTCTGAGATGAGGTATTATGTAAATTTAATTATTCAGACAGGATGGTCATTTTCTGGATGAATTATTCTTTTAAATTCAGACTATTGTCCTTATCTTTCTTGTTTTATCCGACCAGCCTATATTTCTGAGATGCAGAACATCATCCTCAAAGTATCTGTCTATATTTCTGAGATCATTCATTTTCATCCGGTATGCTTTATTTCCATTTTACATTATTCAGCACTTGCACATC